TATATTTGAAAAAACAAGATTCCTTCAGTTATGATACACTTAAGCGATTATGTATCGAAAGATACATGTCTGACGAGGCAGTTTTTTTCCCGCAGTAGATTGCCATTTCTATCCTGCTATTTACCCATAGCTGGGAGAGAAGAAGCGGATTCATACCTTTCCCAAGGGTATTAGCGCGTAAGTGAATGTAATGGATTCGACTGGAATTCGAACTCGGCACCCCGATTAATTCAATCCGGGATGCTATTAATTGCTCCACCGAAAAATTCATAATTTTCTTTTTTTCCTGAATTTAAGCTCCTGCTAATCTAATATACGTGTTCACTTTCTCACACTATTCATGAAAATGTACGAATACATCGCTCTATGACTTAAACACCAGGGATGACCGAGCTTGTTACATTTATATCCAAATGTCTCCAGCATTTTAATAACGGTGAAAAGTTGTGGATTAGATTGTCGACAAAATTCTACCCCTGTATAGTATCCCCAAAACAAGAGGAATTAGCTCAAAAGAGAACATGTGAATCAATATATATATATATATATATATATATACATATATATATATATATAATGCTGGTCACTCGTATTCGAGGATACCAGGGTAGCTAGTCAATCCCTATAGCAGACGCTTGCTCAGGCACATATGTGTTCATTCAAGACCCACAGAGCCCACCTGTGGTTTATACTGCAACTATGCACTTAGTTACAGTTTCTAGGAAATAGCGTGTTATCTAGCGTGTTCAACAATCTGAACAAGGCCAGCACACTCAAGCCCTCGGCCAAGATGACTTGTGACTTCGTGCTCGCTCAACTATCAACAGCACCCAAGGGTTCCCTCTACCCAATTTCACTCCCAAGGCTTGGTTTTCAGGCACTTTCCAAAAGGCACCGCACGATGTGATCGACCCCCTCCAGTCCGATAAGATCAGGAAATCTCCTTCCTGACAAATTGACCATGGTGTATGCGAACAGTCTAACCACTGGGTCATATATTCAATAGCTATATATTAGTAAAAGGATTGCATATATCTTCCTTAAACTGTAAGGGATACAAAGAAAATCTCTTTTATTTGACACTACTCGTAGGCTTTTTGCTCTTAGGTTACGTGCTTTGTCCTTTCAAGGTATGAATCATGATGGCTCCCTACAACCTTTTGTCTTTTGTTCCTCTCAGTAACTTTTGGCCGTTTAACATCTTTATTTTCGTTTGTTCTGTCATCTGTTCATCTGTCATCTGTCATCTGTTCAGAGTTATAAAACAGTTTTCTTGCTGTGCCCGCCAAACATAACAAATGCTTCTCTTGCCTTCATTATTTTCCTGAAAAATTCGGCATTCTCTTTCTGGTTGCTTTTATCAGTTCCCTATGTTTCCTAAAACCCCTACGTTGCTCAAATAAATTCTAAAATAAATAACCCAACAAGGCATTGCCATGTCGTAACATCCACCAACAATCGTTATATATATATATATATATATATATATATATATATATATATATATATATATATATATATATATATATATATATATACACCGTTCTTGTGCCTCTCAGAATTCTACGCAAAAAGGACGCATTGTTCTTACACATTCCACTAGTAACAGAAAAAAATAGCAAACTAAAAATATGTTATTATACTCTTGATGCTATCCTGTCAGAATTTAACTCCTAGACTCAGAGACATCAAAGATCTAACTCGACCGGCATCAGTGTTTCATCCACTCTTGGACAGCATATAAAAATGGACGGCCCTTCTTTAAGTTTTCTCTTCGGTTTTATTTAAGGGTTTGAAATTAAAGAGACAAATAAATAAAACACATATGTATCACATAGAATGCTCCTGGACAGCATATAAAAATGGACGGCCCTTCTTTAAGTTTTCTCTTCGCTTTTATTTAAGTGTTTGAAATTAAAGAGACAAATGAATAAAACACATATGTATCACATAGAATGCTCCTGGACAGCTTATAAAATGGACGGCACATCTTTAAGTTTTCTCTTCGTTTTATTTAAGGGTTTGAAATTAAAGAGACAAATGAATAAAACACATACGTATCACGTGTAATGCAAATAAATACCCATGTTTGAAAAGCGTTACATTGTATGATAACTGGGGACGTGAAAAACTACATATCAATATTATGTCGAGTAACAGTTGATTCCAACATTAACGCAATCTAATATTTACTGATAGAAATGCCATTAACACTTGCAGAAGTTATCTATTTCCAATGACGTAAAAGTATGCGCTTAATAGCAAGCCATATAAAATGAATGATACGTTAAAATATGTCGATTTGATATAGAAGACAGTCCGTTCTTCAGATATTAACAAATATGATATTTCTCCATTAACTTTTTTTTTCCATTTATTTTTATTCAATTAATTATCTTTGACTAACTTCAATTTTTCACCCAAGGAAATAGTGTGTGGGTAAAAACGAAAGAATAATATAAGAAGAAAAGAAACTTTCTTAATTCACCGAAGATTATTCTGGATTTATCAGTCGTCTAAAAAAATGAAGAATACATATTTGTTTGAGGAACGGTGTCATCATTAACTTATATAAAATTCATTGGAAAAACAACAGATTTCTCTTGAAAAGAATGCTATGAATAAACGATTACCAATCATAAAGATCAATAGTTGTTAATAGTTCGATTCTTACTGGCTTTACCAAAATGATGGCTGTGTACTCTAATGAACCAAGTGTAATAATACTAATTTAAAATGGCCGCCAAATATGGTAGATTTCAAAACGTCTGTTTTCAGGACTGGTTTTATGAAAAAGAAATGCAAATTTAGCTAGTTTAAAATTTATTTAGTTTTAAAACTAACTCATTTCATCTGATTCCGGGGTGAAACTATATCGTCCTCTACCAAATACAACATAATCACCAGATGTTGTAAGTATATTTATCAAATTTTAAGAGTTTATTTTCCGCTTATAAATTTAGTGACTTAACTTTAATAAATACCGATCTATGTCAAACCAAATAATTACTGATAATGTACAGTAGTTTTGCACGTGGTTGATGTGTGGATAATGTAATAGTGAGAATTTCGTAAAGAAAATCAGCGAACCCTGTTCGAATTACGATCGAGCTTGTTACATTCACTTTCGCACAAATATGAATATTAAAAGCGATTCTATGAATCCCCAACCTAAAGTTATGGTTTAATTATGAAGTGTAACAGGACTTTCTAGTTTTATTTGGCAACCAGTATAAGATAAGGTCAATTTTGAATTCAAAACCTTATGTGACCCTAGCAGGGCATGTACTTGAATTCTAAAGTCAGTTCAGCATAGTTGCCGTACAAAGTGGGTGTCGAAGATAATTAACGGAACTGAGCAGACAGGGATGTTCGGAAATGAATAGCAGAGAAATCACAATGTGCCTTCAAGTGGAAACAGCTCCGATGATGATAGCAGATGATTAACAGGTCTCGCATAATAACCTTGTTGATACGAGTTCGTTATTGAGCTCACGACGCTCTGGGTCAGGTCACTGGATTACTTCAGCCAAAGCTTTTGTGTCAAGTTGCTGGATTACTTGAACCAACACTTTTATCTACTCAAACACGTGACCTTAAATAGTTCTAGCTATTGACTGAAAGAGTTTCTATATCTTCACCCTGGAACCTGATTCTGATTGGCGATGATCTAAACAAGCAGATCCTCTCCCCCTGTATTATTGCGCAAATACAATATTTCTCCCCTAGTTTATCGACATTTAACTTTGTGATCTATTTAAACCAAACGAAGAAAGTATGAAAATAAAATACTGCTAGGATTATTTAAAAAAAACATATGCGTCCTGGGTATGACGATAAACTACATCCGGCAGCAAGGCCTCTGATTAGGCGGTTTTGAGGAGCATATAACCACCTCTTAATTGATGGTGATCCCAGGCCCATCCTGACCTGACGTGGTAACACCTGTTACGGTCCCAGCTATGAACAAATAATTAACCCCCAAACTGTTATGAAAACATTATGAAAGTGAAAATAGGTCTTAATAACAGCAATACATTTTTAGAAAAAAAAATTACCAGTCATGAAAATCTTGTCGGCATTAAATAACCCATTAAGGATGATTTAGCATAAAACAAACGAAACCAAACAAAAACATAGAACTTCATCCCGTAATAAATGATTTCCAATGAGAGGAAAAACAATTGATTAATATATGCGGTAGTTTTTGTTCTTTGTTCTTTTTTAGCAAAAGTGAAATTAATTAGTGCATGAGACTTTCTTGGCAGAGCATATATACATGGCAGATCATCAAAAAAAGATAGCTTTCAGGAGAGATGCTTAATTGTCCGGATAAAATCGATAATTCATAAAGATAAAAACGCATTCGTTGACCTCCAATGACGTCAGCCGGCTTCTTGACAAATTTGATGGTCCACTGTAAAATGTTGGCAGATATTGTCTAAGTGCGCGTCTGGCACAAGGAAACACAACTTAGTTCTGTAGCTATTCAAATTATTTTGTTCAGGTTATTGTATTTTTTTTTTTCCAAAATTTCCTTGACGGCCTTTCTGAACAAATCTCAGAAATCTCTCGTAACGGTTTAACACGTAACAACGGAATGGAATATTCTATAAGTTCCTGTAATTCTGATAAGCTAATCAATATTTACACTATTTACATTATTCGGACTACTGTCCTCATCTTTGTCGCCATATCTATTACAACGTTTCGGCCTTTGTACGCTCCGGCCTTCTTCAGCTAGTTGGAATGTCGAGCTAAACCCTTTATTTCGCTCACTGAGGTAGACTGTTCTAGTTCCACGTGCCATGTTTGTCATGGATGTCAGTTATCAATTATCTCCTGTTAATTCCCCTCTCCAAGTTTTCCACTGCCTTAACCGGGTATTGAACTCGCACTGTTTGGGTCCTGTCACTGGATCTAACCAACGCCTTTATCCGCTGTGTCATGTGTTCTTGAGACAGATAATCAATATTTCTTGTGGTTTGTTGAGCTTACACCTACATCATGTTAAAACCCCCGTTTCCCGTACGAACACCGAAGTTAAGCTACGTTGAGTCTGGTAAGTACCTAGGTGGGTGACTGATCGGGAATTCCAGGCGCTGTAAGCTTGGATGTGCAGGTGGTTTAATAGATAACGATTCGGAATTGATAATTAGGGAGCCGAGTTCCAATTCTAACTGGTTTGTTATGCTCACGCGCAAATACACTTAGGAAACGTATGAATCCACCTCTTCTTCCTCCACCAGGTATGGGTTAAATAGTAAGACCCGTATTACTAAATCTTTATTATCTCCCCCAAAATTCTTACAACATAAAAATATTATCTGGTTTTAAATTAACTGTAAAAGGTCGATAAGGCGTAAAAAAATGGATGTATCTATCAGTCGCGTTTTGGCAACAAATGGCTACACCTGATAAATAATAGTTAATTTCATGCTTATAACATAGGCGAGGAAACCTCTTGCTGCGATTCTAGAGACGCGCAACCGAATCGTACCAAAAATATTAACAGATTAATCAAGATGTTCTCCAGTCAATATTGTCTGTTCATTCAAACCATTATTTCATGGCTTCATTTTTACCAAGCATTGAAATGTGTGTGGGTAAAATTCTTTTACTCCCGTACAAAACATCCTCTAATCGACATACAGACACTGCCAAACATAAAAAAAACGCTCACTAGACGCATAAATGCGCAAACATGCAAATACATACACACATATACAAACAAACATACACATTGTCAACCAAATCCTGCATAGACCTACTAGAATTATGATACAGACACACACGAATTATACAAAAAAAGTACACGTGAGGTCAACTAACCTATAAAAAACACAAAAATAAAACATCCCATAATTTTTCTCCTCCATATTTATTTTCTGATGAAGCTAAAACATGGTAAATTTATAAACATTAACTATTTGTTCATTATACTACCAAATCTGATCCATATTAAATCCATATTCGATCCCAATTCATACATATATTTTTGTACATAATCAAAAAGTATAGTTTTAATGTATGTTATATTTATGACTAAAAGTGCTCATTATCAGAGACAGAGCGTATGTAAAGTAAATTTGGATATTAAAGTCAACAACAAGCGGCAGTAGTTTGTTTCGGGCTTGAAAGCAATCTTCAAGGCCTGCAGATGTCATTTACACATAAAACAGAATGTCGCTGCTTAGTGTTGACCTCAGTGTCCAATAAATATTGCATAACACTATATTTTTATCAATTTCACACACACACACACACATATATATATATATATATATATATATATATATGTGTGTGTGTGTGTGTGTGTGTGTGTGTATGTATGTATATGAGGCTCAGGTGTCATTATTCCATGGTTATAATTTATTACATTGTAATCGTAATCACGATCCAATTCATCAGACCTACAAATTCAAAAAAAAGGAGGATTTCTTTTTGTATTTGTAGGTCTGATGAATTGGATCTTGTTTACGTTTCCATTGTAATAAATTATAACCATGAATATTAGTGTTTGAGCCTTTTATTTTATATTCTTACTCTGTTCTGACATAGAATTTTACCTGGATTCCATCCTCTTGAAATATATATATATATATATATATATATATATATATATATATATATATATATTTCGACAGGATGCTGGAAGGCTCTCGTCATGAAGACTGTCCTAGAACCTAAAATAAATATAAACTAACTTTATAGTCTACATTTTATATTTTATATTCTACATTCTACATTTTATATTCAACATTTTATATGTTTTACATTCTGTATTCTACATTTTATATTTTATATTCTACATATTATATTCTACATGTTATATTCTGCAGTTTATATTCTAAATTTTATATTCTACATTTTATATGCAACATTTTATATGTTATATTTTATGTTTTATATTCTACATTTTATATTTTATATATCACATTTTATATTCTATATTCTGCAGTTTATATTCTAAATTTTATATTCTACATATTATATATTATATATTCACGATGCAGTTCAACACACGTGCGACAGCATTGTTCGAAAATCCAGGGGATTCTTCATAGAAATGCTGATTTTGCAAATTGAATCGGGTCGATAACTTTCAGCCCCCCCCCTTTGTATATTACTATCTCTCTCGTGGCAGTGACCAGGTTAAATTTTGGAATTGAATTATGCCTCATCCCTTTTCCATTTGGGGCTCTATCAGCCTAATTTTTCAAACGTGTGATAGCTAGGAGTGTACGAATAAGGTGTGTAAGATAGCCACACGTTTAATACGGCTTTCATGTATAAATGATGGAATATTTTATAGTTACTTATCGCTGACTACATTTCGATGCAAATCTAATTGAATTTGGAAGAGTGGGCATTATTGTTGGCATTTGCGATATGAAGAAGGTGTGAACGTCGGAATACGTAGGAGAATCTGTAAGTGAAATTACGACTCTTCTCATCCACATAGATATATTGCATTTCCATGGATAGAGTCATTAATGTGAATCCGGCCAAATACATTTTGGTCATCTCGGTGGCAATTTATAGTTTAATGTAGCATTATGTGTATGTCATGGTCGCCAGCTTCGGGGAAGTATTTTGCTAAATGAAC